TATATATATATATTTGATTGTGGCATTTTAAACTTACCTTCTGGGTCAGTGGATGTAGTTATATCTGATGCAATTGAATCTGCCTTGTTAACACTGGAAAATAGAAAATGTATTATTTTCAAAAAGGAATTTGGACATATAAAGGTTTCATGCACCACCCTTTGAAGACCTGAAGATACCAAAATCCTAAAAGCCCATGAACCATGAAAAAAAATACCAAGTACCAATGCTAATGAAAAATACCACCAAAATTTTTTGAGAACTCCTGAAATTTTCAGTATATCTGGTAAAATGTGGGTTTGCAGCAGGTTGTAAAATACAACTATTCTCCATTGGAGTCATAATATGTTTTAGAGGAACTTGTTGGCCAACCGCTTCAAACAGCAGCAGAAAGAGGGTGCCACAGTATTCTGTTAAGGAGCTGTACAGCTGTATTCTACTATATAGAAGGTCCTCATTTTAACATGAAGTTTTATGTTCTTGGAAAACCACTTTTTAACCTACTTCACTTATTATATGTAAGCTGCAATCAGTGTTGGATTAATAAAATCTTGTGTCAATGATAATTAGCACTGGCAGATTTGTACAGCTCCCAGGGGGACAACCCCTCTGCATGGAGAAACTACTGGTAAAGTGACACCTGATGTAAGTGGAGGTCATTAAAACCTCTCCAAAAAGTCAGCAATAATGTGCAGTGGATCCTTGTTTGCCTAAGAAAACGCATTATTTTTGCAGTGACAACATTTTCTGGGTTGTATACTGTAGGTCAACAGTTTTGGTTGGATAGTTAAACCACTTCCTCTACTGGTGAAATGTCAGTGTGCTTGAGCTCCAGTATTTGCACATACGTTGTGGCCATTATGAGAGGCTTAGACTTTTCATGAGACATTTATTTTATATTATGGAAAATGTAACAGACAAGGACTCGCAGATGTCCCAGGTGAACAGAAACAGAGTATGGAATTATGGCAGGGAGACCTTATTGATAGGGAACGTAAGTCAAGCTAGGTCTGACTCAGCCCACCAGAATCAACTTAACTAAAATACCACATTAGGTTGGATTGATCCATTAATTAATTTCAGAGTCACACGCTGCTATGTAGTACTTACCAACTGTCCTGTCCTTCAAGCAAGTGTTTATATGTGGCAATTTCCGTCTCAAGAAGATTTTTCTGATCCATAAGAATTTTATACTCTATGTTTTGTCTTTCTAGGTCACATCTGACTTGTGCTAGTTCTGATTCTGCATTGTTAATCATTCTTTGGAGCTGGGCAAGCTCTGAGCTGTAGTTTGCTTCTGTCTCTGTCAGATTGTCTTGAAGAGCTAAATTCTGTGAAGAGGGATCACATTATAACATTTTCAGGGCACAGTCACAATAAATGCTGTGCTTAATTAATAATGTCAAGTTAAGAAGAAAGTCAATTAGAGTTTATGCACAAACCAAAGTGGGCCTGAACTCTGGAAGCGCTGTTAAAAAAAAGGCAAGCAGAGACCAAAGGTCTAGTCACCAGTATTGTCTGTAGGCTCCTTCCAGCTGATCCTTTTCTTCATTGTTTTCTATAAAATCAATTAGCCTGAGTTGTTTAGTGCAGCCTGTTGGCATCTCTAGCCAGGGTGGGTTACAATTGTCTAACCTCTATAGGTACATACTGTAGTTTCAATACATTTGTATCAAAGCCAGGATCCTGGCATCACTGCTGCTCTCTCCTTGTACAGCACAGTAATGATGTCACCACTACATTTACAAGGTAATAATTGGGTTTGTAAAGGCAATCAGTGCACACAGAGTTGATTTATATCATTGGTGGCTATTGAAGAATACATTTATATTAATGTTCTTGTGCCTGGAGTTCAGCTTCAACAATTATCATCTTAAATTGCCCTTAATGCATAACCACTACCTCCAAATACTTAACTACTAAAGTAAGCAGTGCCAGTACAAGGTCTTTTAGCTCCCAAGGCAAAAAGGCAAAAAGGCAAAAGTGCACCCCCCACCCATGAGATGGTAACTACTTGAGCAGCATAGGTTGCAGGTCCTGTCTTGTTTGTGCTGCCTTCTTGGTGAAGCACCCAAGGTGGTCACCTCTTCATCCTACCCCTTGGCCTGGCTGTAAAGATGAGACATTAACTTAACCTAATTACTACACTAAGCCCTAAAACGAACCCCTTCTGAAGCCTCTGCACCCATAGCAAGCAGCGTTGTACTTAAATAATATAATGATGAGCTTACAGTGCCAGAAGAACCTGCTCTGGATTTATTTCACTCTATCTATTTGCTACCCTAGCCATTTACACTGCAGAAAACAGTCAAAAAACTTCCTATCAGTGAGGTCACATGCAACTTTTGCTTTAGAGATCCCTCCAGGGCTATTGTAGTATAAACATTACCTTACTTTAGGCAAGAATAGAATAGGTTTTTTTATTGCATAATGTTGAGCTATGAAAGAAGACACAATACCACCTTCTGGCAACCATGAATAAATATTTAAAACAAGAAAATAGTTTCCTTTAAAGCAATATCTAAAGCCACAACTTTTTTAAGATTTGGATAGGTTAAAGCCACCATGTTTGTTTATGTCACAATGAAGCAATGTTCTTTTGTCTACTGTCCACAAGACACTCAAAAACACAAGTTAGAGGAAATCTCTCTGAAGTCACAGAAAATCCCCTCTTTAAAGGTGGTCACTAGACCAGGTGACCCAATTGGAAGATTTAGAAGCAGATAAATACAATGGAAAATGTAACACTAGTGAACCACAAATGCTACACAATTTCTTTGTAGAAAAGGACTGTATTGTATCTACAGCACACAGTTGTTGGAGTGGGGCATGGTGTTCTGTGTAATTGGCCTTCTTGGGCTTCTAAGAGACCTCATACTGTATATGCTGTATGTTATTAGTCGTTCTTACAATAACGCCAGCTATAATTAAGAATTCCTTATCCTTACCCATAAGAAGACTTTTACAAACACAGCAAAAATAAAACACAGGGAAACGGGAAAAGGAAAAATATAAAAATTAGGCAAGATAGGTAATAGAAAACATAGGCTGAAAAAAGCAGTCAGGAAAGATGAGAGAGCAAAGGTGAAAATACAAATACAGATAAAAAATATATATACATATAGGAATAAAAGGAATGGATGAAAAAAAAAATGAGGGGGATCACATATAACATCAGTCATTAGGTGAAGAGGAGAGTCTGTACAGATTCAGGAGAACTAGCAGATCAATATACATAACTTCAGCCAACTCTACACCACTCCAATACACATTAAAGAACCAAGTGGCAATGCATACCATGTTCAACTGGCTTTGTAGATCGATTTCCAGGTTCTGTACACTGCGTTTCAAGTCAATAATTTCAATCTGCACTGACTGTTGGTTTTCGGATCCTGGCTCGACCTGACAACCTAGTTCTTCAGTCTATAAAATTATAAAACATATTAGACCATCATAGCATTTAGTTTTGGAATTGCTTTTTTATTTACATTTTTATTACATAAATTCACAATTACTGAATGAAAATATCATGCTAAAAAATAAAAATGTGTGGTTACCCTTGCTAGAAACATGGCTTCAACATCTCTCAGGTTTCTCTCCATTAGGTTTTCGTACTCTTCTCGGATATCGGACAAAACACTGTTCAGATCTATAGATGGGGCGGCATCCAATTCCACACTGACTCTGGCACCCAGTTGACCACGGAGAGAGTTCACTTCCTATCAATCATCACATGAAAAATGTTAATAGAACGCAAAAAAACTGTTCCGTATACAAATCATTAGAAGGAATATGCATCTTCTTTTTACAAACCTGGCATAATCATGTCAAGATATACATTATATGAGTATCTGTTAATGTGTTTTTTTTTTTATCATATATTTTTTACTGGGTTTTTCTATGTTGTTATTTGTTTATTCTAGCATTTTATACCTGATCTTTGAGGCAGGGGGCATATATTTTAAATGTGTTTCAGCTTTATATTAATCTATATATTAAAATACAGTAGCTGTCTGGAATAGAAGGGATCCTGATCCATTGATTTGAACCTTTGGAGCACCTGAAGTTGCTTGGTTTTCATCAGTTGAGAAAAAGCTAGCAAAAGGACAGCTGTTAGAATCTGGGTTATACATATATTTACAGTATTTGTGCACATTACCTCCTCATGGTTCTTCTTCATTTCTTGGACTTCTTCTTGGAGTTCTTGGACCTGAAACTCCAGGTCCAGTTTCTCTTTATGTAGTACTTCCAAGATTCCTTGAAGTCCTTTTACATCAGCTCCCACATTGTTCCTTAGTCTGACTTCAATTTCATATCTTTAGAGTAAAAATGAACAGCAGAAAATGAATGGAAATCTCACCAACTAGACGCAGACAGTTAAACCTAGTAGGATGCAACCCAGCCCAAATGTAAAGGCCCCAGAAGTGGACAGAAACCCATATAGTGCTCCACAATGTACACTGAGATGAGTTTGATCATTGAAAGCCTTCCAAAGGAAATACATGTGCACACAACTGCTTCACACACTTTTAGACCATCACATGTTGTCTGTATTTATATATTGCTACAGCCAATCTTGTTTCACTACTGTATAATATACCTACGCCTGCAGCACATAATAATACTTAGGTATGGAAAATTATCCAGACTTTACTGGAACTGGCCCATGCTGGGTTTAAAATTCTGGATTTTCTAGATTAAAAAAAGCACCTTGGATTAATGAAGTCTTTGAAATAGAAATGTCTGGAAAAATGCAACCCACCATTATGTATATGCCTGGAAAGCTTTTTAGGCTACAGTTTTTTTTTTCTCAAAAGAGACAGCCCTTCTAAACCAGGGTTCTGTGGAACATTGGAGTGGAAGACTGACCTCATTTCTGAGAAGGGTCTGCACTCTGCAGTGTTCCTGCACCAATTTTACTTGGCAGAGTGGACCCTCTCTTCTCATCTCTATGCTCAGTACATATTGGCACCAATTATATTTTTTTCAGGTAATGCTAAGGGGTATTATCCCTAATGACAACAGATTGGAGGGACATTATTCACGCACTGCCCATTAATGTAATAGGGCATTATTTCCACCGAGCATCAGTGAAAGGGGAGCCCTTCTCCTACAGGCCATCCTCTTCTGACCACCAATATAAGAGGGGCCTTTGCTATGACAAAATTATTAGGGGGAGAAATGCTAGGGGGCATTACTTTACTGTTCATGAAAAGAGTACACACATTTTTTTTTTACTGTATGCTTTACTTTTCTAGCTATTGTTATTTGTTTCATTCCATGATAATTACTGAAAATGATTTTGTCAAGGGAATGTAAAAAAATTTGAGATAACAATTATGCTACCTATGCCACATTTTGAGTTAGTTTATTAATAAATCGACAACCTACTGATCTCATACACTATACATACATAAGAAATACTATGTAATATTTTTAACAGGGGTTTCCTAAGAACTAGAAATAATTTGAAGGGGTCATGTCCATGGTAAAAACGTTGACAATGGCAAATCTAACCAGACAAAAAAGCTCACAACTCACAAAATATTCTCACACCCATAGGTTATGTGACTTATGCTTTCCCATTTTTTTACAGGTCCTTTTATTTGCCCTATCTGATGTCAAATGCTTACTTGTTGCTAAAATCATCTGTTGCCCATTTGGAATTGTCAATCTGTAGCGCAATGTTAGCATTTTCAACTGTGGCAGCAAAAATCTGTATGAACAAAAAGCAGAAATGATCATGTTGGGTTTGTTAACAGTTTCCAATCAGCGTTGCTTACAAAAGAGCTCATAATGGTCACATATTTGTGCTTGTCAGAAAACATGTAAAGTTGCATAAACATGTAGAATTGCAAAATTAAATATGTTTGGAAAATGGTAAACTACAATTGCTCATAAAACTTTTGATTTAGTTACCTTTTTCTGGACCTCTTCAATTGTCTTGAGAAATTGGCTAGAATCAGGCAAAGCACTTGGGGCATTGTTCTCATACCACTCAGATATTCTCCTTTCCATCTGGCCATTCCCCTGCTCCAAAGTGCGAACCTTCTCCAGATAAGATGCAAGTCGCTCATTTAGAAATTGCATGGTTTCCCTTTCATTGATTTTGAACAGGCTATTGCTTTTTGAACGTCCATAATTTTTCGAGTGAGCTCCTCCGCTTTGCATGTTATAGGAGTGTCCAGGTGAATGGGCAATTTCTTTATACCATAAATTTCCATTGGCACTAGAAGAACTGCAGTGGTCAAAGGTTTCTCCATGATAGGAATTGTAGGACCCTCCACGTGTTGGACTATTAACTCTTTTATGATCTGATTTCTTGGAATGTTCATAGAGGTTTTTGTAGGCTCTTCCTAAAGTCATACCATTGCTTTCATGGAAGGTTTTGAGGGTAGAGGGCCCAGAATGGGTACTATTGAATCCACCTTGCTCAGGGAAGTAGAAGCTTCCATATTTGAACATAGGAGAAGCAGCTGAGGAATTGTTCTTCATATTGTGCCTTAAAGCTTTAGCAAGGATGGATCAAAAGGAAGTGTTACGACTGTTTGATTGTGATACAAATGTGCCCAATTTATAGAATACTTTTTATATTAAGTATAAGGGTGTTGTTAATGAGCAATGTTTATAGGTGTTTTACAAGCATCTGATTCCTTTGTCCCTTGCTGTACATTTAACATAGAATCTTGTTTGAACTTCAGGTGATTTGTCATGTAGTCTGATATATAAACTTATTGGAAGGCGTAGAAGGTTTTTTATTATATATATAGAACTCCTTGTAAACAGGTTTAAGGCTTTTGACAACAATGCTGAATAATACACGCTGTATGACAATTTCTAGAGTTTTCTAGTCACTTGAACTGGTCATCTATGCGTTATGGCTGATGTATTTAATAAAAATCTTGTTGCGGTAGAACTGTGGCCAGGCTACTGACATTTAACTGCCTGAGAGGTCAGTTGGGATCTATTTTAAAGCATTTTCCTTACTTTGTGTCTACTGAAACCATTGTCACCATGATAGTAAGGGAAGAGAGCCCTGGACCGTAGAATAATACAGGTGTTCAAATCCTTTTCTACTCCATTCAAAACTTTAAAAAAAAATTGCGGTACATATACTTTAATTTGATGTAAAAATTGAATTTCAGTAGTGGCCAGAGTTCTACTTTAAAGAAGTTTCACGGTTTTAGTAAAAGTAAAACTCCCATCTCTCCTAGGACAACCACCATTCAAAATTAGGGATGTTCAGATACCAGTGCCGATATTAGGCATTTTCACGAGAACTACCAGGGTTGCAGCGGTTTCAGCTGGGACCTAGCTCTGGCGGTCTACCACTGTCCTGAAATAATTAGTTTGTATTGTTTTAGAAAAATTGTCACATGACAATAAACAAAAATTTATCAGTACTATTTGTGAGTACTTGGACAAGTATCAGTACTTGTACTTGAAAAAAATGGTATCGGTGCATCCCTAATATATATTTATAAAAAAAAATCATACATTAAAACAGGGATGCAGAAATCCCAGGAGCTCCATATGATCCTTAAAAAGGACAACTGCTTCCTAACTTTTGAATTTTTTCTAGTCTAGTCTTGGAGCTGGAAAAGTATCTGTACATGTACTTGTACCGAGTACGGTACTTGGTCTCTGAACATCCCTATTCAAAATATTTAACACAGGATCAGATGGTCACAATATCTAACTTGGGTTTGTGGTGATGAACACTGATCACTTTTTTTAAACAATTTGTAAAAACATTTAAAAAATGACATTGGGCCTCCATCTAAATAGTACCAATTTTGCACCTAATAGGTCAAGAATCATATTAAACACTCACATATAAACATCAAATAATGCAGCAAACATGAGCAAATAATGAAAGAGATGAAAACAACAATCCTTGGAATTCATAAAGAGTATCTACGACGCTCTTTAGAAGTCCATTGTGCATCTGCATAACAAGTGTCATGTGTCAGGGTGGAACATGAAGCTGAGGGACTTGTTCCCCAAGGTCTGCTTCCCTGGTGATTGACAGCAGGCTTTGAGCAGGTTGCATATCCATTATAGACAGCTTGCTATTGGCTTTTGAATCCACCATCTGCCCGCTGTCAATCACTAGCAGAGCAGACTAGATGGGGAACTAATCCTTCAAAATTCCCATCAGGCTCTGCTCACTGTCAGCCTCAATGGTTGTTAAAGACACTGTTGGCCACGTCATTTGATGCTAACAAAGCCTCTTAGCAACCAGTGGCTCATCAGTGGTCATATTCAGCTGCCAGCCTGGCAGCTGAATGTAAACAAAGGGCACAGGTATGCTGGCTGACACCATTACCAAAATATGGTAATGGTAGTGATGTCAGCCAGTATCCTTGGCCTCAGATCATCCTTCAGCATGGACCATGTGCAGGAAGCTGTCACATTCATGACACTCTGAGCACTGGTATTTCTTGTACACCAGATGGAAGTTAGTCTTAATCACCATCAATTTCCTAATCTGTGAAATGGCAATAATTATTTTTCAATTTGCTACAATCGAAAGTGGCAGTATTAGGAACTACCTGAATCTGTTGCACATGTCAGAACTGCAACCGAAACCATTGCAAAACTACATTGGATTAGGCATAGTTTCTTTTAAAGGGGCCATACCACCGGCAAATACAGATCTGGAGATAATGAGAGGAAGGGCTGTATGATTGGGGGGAGGAATAGTCCCCTAGAGAAGGGATTAAATAAAGTGTGAATCGGTTGATCTTACCTGATTGGAGGCTGGGGTCAGGTGTTGCGGAGGAGCCACATGGAATAGGACTGCAAGGGCTGATAGGCATTATTTCCAGAAATTTGATGGACGAAGTAGCTTGCCCTGCCCGTCCTCCCCTAGCTTTTGCAGTTGATGGTGGTTGAAATGGCGGGTTAGGGGGTCTGGAAATGTGAGCCAGTTACAAAATGGAGGACCATCAGCTGGTATGGTGCTTTCCCCCCTTTGGTGTCGGTATTTGTCAAGGGACCTGGCCCCTTGGGACTTAAGAAGCAGTTACTGTCCTCGAGCTGGTGGGGGTACAGCTGGTGACATGGGAGCGAATTTAGTAGAGGCCTTATTTTGGCTGATGGGCAGCCAAAACCTCTTCTCAGATCCAACAGTCATTTGGATTATTTATTTCCATGTTATTGTGGTCAATATGTTTGGTATGTGTTCATTTTTTAATGGTTAAATAAAGGGCTCCTGTGGCCATTAAAATGCATATTGTGAAGTCCATGTGTGCATTGGGGTTTTAACAGAGGGACGTAATTGACAAATCCATCAGTCAAGTGTTGCATATGCTTTATTGAATCTTTCAATATGCTTTACGTGTCAGCTAAATTGGTAAATACTAAAAAACAAAATACATTTGAAAATACAGGGCATTTGATCTTCCAACTTACCACTGACACCAGGGCATTTGATCTTCCAACTTACCACTGACACCGGGGCATTTTTACTACTACTGACAACTGACACCAGCGCATTTTTTCCTGCCTTCAAACACCGATGTCAGGGCATTTTTCCCCTTCTACTGACCATCATTGTAGGAGTAGTTTTTCTTTCTACCCACTGACTTACAGTCTTTTTTTCCTACTGATCACTGACACTGGAGCCTTTTTACCTTCTACTGACTACTGCCTTTTTGTCTTGCTCTTTGGTTTGAGAATATTGCTATAATCACTGGGATATGTACATGTTGAACATGTTGTTAAAATTTAACATTGTATTAGAATTTTGCAATGGGACCATGTGATTTCTAGTTACGCCCTAGTGTGGAGGTCACTAGTAATGACAGCAGATCCTATGATGGCTGCTAGAATGCAGTCTTTGCACTAAAGGCCCAGCAAACACCGCCCCACTGCGTTTACTTTTTATAGTCATTGGTTCACTGATATTAGTTATTCATATTAAGAGTTATACATATATAAAACTTTAAAACAACACGTCAAGAACAAGAGAGCGGCATTTATAAAATATAAGACAGAGGGGACGGCATTGGCCGTCAAAGAATGTAACAAAAAATGCAAACTAGTAATCCGGGCAGCTAAAAGTGAGTGCGAAAAGCGTATCGCCATAGATAGTAAAAAGAACCCCAAAAAATTCTACCAATATATTAACAGTAAAAAGGTGAGAAAGGAGCAGATAGGCCCAATAAAGGATGGAAGCGGGAAGCTAGTCACAAACGACAAGGAGAGGGCCGAGGCGCTGAACGCTTTTTTCTCCTCAGTATACACTCGGGAGGGAAACGGGTTTGACACACATGATAAAACTCCCAGTTTAACTCAAAATATACCCCAGTGGTTGACAGAAACCGGGATACAACAAAGACTTAAAATGCTCAATGCAAACAAAGCAGTGGGTCCGGATAACCTGCACCCCAAGGTACTTAAGGAATTAAGCCAGGTTATAACTAGACCATTAATCCTCATTTTTAAGGACTCCTTAATGACTGGTAGGATCCCCAGTGATTGGCGGAGGGCTACGGTAGTCCCAATATTCAAAAAGGGGGCAAGGTGCCAACCTGGGAACTATAGGCCGGTCAGTCTAACATCGGTAGTTTGTAAAATGCTAGAGGGAATAATACAAGATTATCTGGTAGAATTTATTCAGGAAAACGGGATAGTTAATGACAATCAGCATGGGTTCAGGAAAGACCGTGTCTGCCTAACTAACTTGCTAACTTTTTATAAGAGGGTGAGTAGAGATATGGATGGAGGGAGGCCGGTAGACGTGGTATATCTGGATTTCGCAAAGGCTTTTGATACGGTAGCACACAAACGCTTGCTACACAAGCTGAGAGCTATGGGCATAGATGAGGTGGTGTGTACGTGGATAGAGAACTGGCTATGGGAACGGGTCCAGAGGGTGTCTGTAAATGGCACCTTTTCAGACTGGGCTAGTGTAATGAGCGGTGTGCCTCAGGGTTCTGTGCTGGGTCCCATATTGTTCAACTTATTTATTAATGACATCGGGGAGGGTGTTAACAGCGATATATCCATGTTTGCGGATGACACCAAAATTGGGAGGGTAATAGACATGGGCATTATAAAATTAACTCCATTACAAAAACTAGAGGCCACCACCTAAAATTGGTGGAAAAAAAATTCCAGCACAAGGGGCGAAGGGGATAGACAAAAAAAATTATAGAAAATATATAGGTGTACGGCCAGCTTTACTTGTCTCCCAAGCCAAAGGTTTTCTGTCATCCCTGCATACACACCATAGATACATTTGTTAGAAGCCTCAGAACCCAACCAGTTTGAAAAAAGAACTTTCAATATTGCCATTCTCAATGGGTGGGAATCCTCTTTCTACAGGAAACTCACTTGCCTGTTTCTTATCAACAGACATTCCTAATAAATACTACCAGCAGTTTTTTTCTGGGCAATGCTCCTGACAAGACTAGGGGGCTGGCTATTTGTTTTGCTAAAAATACTTATTTTCGCTTTTTTTGTTGGAGATAAGAGATCCTGAGGGA